CAGGGGGAGTAAATAAAACATCACTCTCTTTAAGATCTATGGGAACTGTTGGTATTAAACATATCAAGGTGTTTTAGGTATCTGCTGCACTCTGCAGTTCCTCCTGCCTACGTTATAAATAGAATGGTAGTGTTACTGCAGTTGTGTTAACTAAAAAGGTGGAATTTCACAGTAATGTCAGAAACGCAAAAACTCTTAATTTTCCTCATCCGATCTAGAGAGAAAAGATATCTACTGAATTAACATATGCGCCAGTATTGCAGTACAAATTTCCCTAAAGTGTCAGATTCAAGAAGAGATACATAAAACAAGGTAAGCTCAAGAAAAACATATTAATAAGCACACTAAACCATTATTTGCCTGTGTTTGCTTTGTCCTCTACTTATGGCATAAAAGCAGTACTCAAAAATTTTTTTTTTTTTTTTTTTTTTTTTTTTTTTTAAGGAAGGCAGCACGAAAGAAGAGCCCTTTTCCAACATGATCCAAATTCTCTTATTTAGGCTATACAAGTCCAAATAAGGGCAGTATTCACGATTAAACACATCCAAAAAAAAACATGCTCCAAGTCCATTAGAGAATAACTTTAGGGAAGGTGGGGGACAGGATCTCTGCTCAGGCCAGCAGACTAGTGAAGATGTCCAAAAGGATCCCTTTAACAGTTCCCCATATTTTCTACAAACCTTAGTTTGACAGAAAAAAAATTGCTCATCACTTTCTCTGTAATATCCTCCCTCATCCCTAAATGGAGAAAGAGCTGGTTCACACATGCCATTTATAAATTTAATGTCAGAAGCTGTAGACAACGTTGACAAAAACTGGGAAACAAACACTAAATTTAATTTTTATTTAGAAACATCAATTACAGAATACTACTGAAAAGCATAAACCAAAAATATATAAGAACCACAATTATGAAGATGTGTTTTAGGTGACTTGGACCACCACTAGAGGGCACCAACCGTGCATTCAGACAGAATTTAAAAAAGAAAAAAAAAAAATCATAATATAGTGAAACCATAATTTATATATTGTTAAAAGGCAATAATGTGATGGTCTGGAATAGTTGAAATACATGCTGTTGGGGAGATGCAGACACTGCCATGGGTAAATATGTTTATTGAGAACCCTTGTTATACATAAGTCAAATATAAAAGCATTCTTTCCACTTTCTATAGGCTTTCACTCAAACATATGAATACCCAGTAAATCAGCTGCTCAAGTCAGGCTAACCAACCATGCAGAGTAGAAGAGGTCCATACACAAACAGGGCACACAGTTTTGCAATTATCCAGCACATAAGAGCCTTTGGTACAGCAAGAGGTGCAACACCGTGGAATAGAATAGCCTTCATACTAATATATATATATAACCGTGGATTAAACTATGTGGAACTCCGGCTTAGACCTGGAAAACACAAACTGAAGCAAGTGACAACCTCAAGAATAGTCATAGTAATATTTATAAAAGACTGAATTGAAACACAAGATAATTCTGCATAAGACTGAAAGTTCAGTGTTGGTAGAAGTTTGTCAGGCTGATTTTGTACACCTTTAAACAGGTAGGTTGCTGGGTAAACTGCTATTTTTACTACCATGTAATGCTGAATGTGGTAATCTGGGCCTGGTCCATTTAGGATATGTATGTAATGGCAGCTTTAGTGGGGGAAAAAAATATATATTTTTAATCCAGATGATTTTATGACTGTTAAAGCAGGCAGAAAACCACCAAACAGCACCCAACAATGAATTTTCAGAGTTTGGGGGAATTATGCTGAAAACAAGGAAGGTAGTGTTACTGCAGGTGCATTAGTAATAAACAAAAGAACAATAAACACACATTATACATATACTGTTAAAGTAGGATCCCCATACCAAAAGACGTTTACCCCAATATTATCTGTAACCAGGGGCAGACTGACAACTCATTGGACCCCCGGGCAATAGGGGATCATGGGGCCCCTGTGTCCTTGCCCAAACTCAAAAAAAGCCTATGAAAAAGGTACCAGGGGCATCTCATGGGGCCCCCTACTGACCCCGAGCCCTCAGGCAGTGCCCGAGTTTCCAAATGGTCAGTCCGCCCGTCTGTGATACTTTAAAATGAACCCGCACTTACATTAAATTTTCTTAACTGCCATTAGAAAAGTAATGCAGAGGGTAAAGGGGTCTGTATGTACCTGGATATCTTCCAAAGTACCCCAGGTGCACCAAAAATCTGAGCCAATCAATTATACAAACAGTGGCTTTAGTGCCCAGCCACAGCTTTGGCCCACCTTTTCTGGCTTCCTCACTATTGGTTCCACAATGTGATGCATGGTCTTGCTGACCCATATTGAGGTAAGTGGCTGCCTAAAGCGGCACTTCAGAGCTTAAGACAGTATCTGCAGAAGTGAACGTCACAGATTTCAGGGCTCCCAGGACACCCAGTAAGATATCGAAGGATGTTTGTTTATCCTTGGAAGCAGAATGCCACTTAAAAGTCAGCACAGGTTCACCTTAAAGTGACCTACCCCAAGAGGGTAGGCTACAAAGTGAGAGAAGTTTTGGACATACTAATGCAGTGCGTACCAGATTTCCAAAGTTAATGAGTTGAAATAAATAGTGAGATTTATTTACCACTTAATGTAACCTGTACTATCTGGATGTCTTGTAAAAATGACAAAATTACAGTGTCCAGGGACTGGAATCAGAAACACTTGTCCACATCGAGGAAAAGGAGGGACATTTTAAAAAAAAAAAAAAACCCTAGCACAAGCAATTTCGGCCTTTCTGCAATTTTCCATCTCCAGGGAGAAAATAAAAAAAAAAAAAAAGTTTGTAGTGCCGGCACTGCAAGGGTCAACTATTCCTTTTGTCTAGGGCCAATAAGGAAGCTTATACTCGCCCGATCCTTCATTCCACTGGAAAACCGCTCTCCCCCATGGTCTGTTCCTGGTCTAAGGAGCCTGCTCTGGGCTTGCTGACGTCCAGCCCACAAGTCAAGACCGCTATAGCCAGAAAGTGCCAAGACCGCTCTTGTGCTGGGAGGATCAGATAAGTAAATCTCCTTTCTTCTTTCCTTTAGACAAAATGTGCTATTAACTCTTACAGTGCGGGAACAGCCCCATTGCATAGGAACACTTTTTTTCTTTTTTGCCTGGAGATGAGCTTTTGTGTTTTAGACCACATTCACACACAAAAAAAAAAAAAAAAATTTGCTTGTGGCATTTTTGATGTGCTTGCATTAAAACGCACATTATATAGAATTCAGTGGTATCACACAGCACAGACGTGGACAGGGCCTTATAGTTGGCCAAGCAAAGAATTAACAAAAAATAAATTTCTTTTAAAGCTGAAAGTTAGGCAGATAATAAAAAACACAAATTAATGCAGATATTAATTACATGTATTTTTTTTTTTTTTAAATGTAGCTAATGTAAATCTGACTTGGTATCAGCCTCTCTTAATCTTGTGAACAGCAGGACTCGAAGCAGCACTTAAAAAAATCAGGTTTGCTGCACAATTGTGTACGGGCAAGAACATGGGGGCAGGAGAGAGCATTGTAAGCAGAGAATAAAAAAAAAAAAAAGAGTGACTTCACTTTTGTTGAGGGAAAACAAAAAAAAAAAACAAAAAAAAAAAAAAACACCCAATTCCATCTGGGTTATCAATGTAGATTTGCAAGGATTTTACCAAACATTGTTACAGATTCCTTTTATATCTGCTGTATTTTTCTCACAAAAGTGGAGTTACCTTTAAGGTGCTGCTTCTTCGCCATCCTATCACTGGCTGGGGACCCAGCTTTACTGTAGCAGAGAAAATTCAGGTCAGCTGTCAGTGTGACAGAGCTATGTAAATCTCACAATTGGATGAAAAGAAATAGAAGTCCTTTGGCAGTCCCATAAATGTATTTCATCTGTGTATCTTAGCTGTCTGCCTTCAGCTTTAAGATAAGGTGCAGTTGGTGCCTTGTTTTAAGCCTGTTACTTATTTTGTAAACATCCCAAAATATTTTATTACCTCACGCTCTCGCCACATAGTTCATATATCAGTGCAGTCAATTAGCAGCTCACACAAATTCTCTTGCACCATAGTTTACTTTTAAACAGAATTTTACAATTATGCAAATAAATCATTGACATTTTCCTATTGATAGCAAAACTTTCTTCAATCAGCTGTAAAACACTAAATATTCATTCAACACCGGTATGGCACCATTTTGCTTAATGTGCACTTTATCCCACATCAAAGCTTCAAACCCAATTGAAAAATCTAATAAACTTTCTCAATATATATATAGGCACCTGCCCAAAAAAGGCATTTGGAATTAAGCAACTTGTAAGAGAATCAGAAATGGTATATCTGTCAGCTAGAGTAAAAGCTATACAGTGAAAAACTACTCATTGATATCCAGCTGTCGTCACAAGTCTCTAAAGAAGGGAATGGCGGAGCTTCCCAAGTTACCTGCAAGTCTTCTGCTTCTTGAATAGCACTTAGAAGCATTGCAGGATAATGCACTTCCCGCCTCTGTGGAGTCACCTGATGAATGCCAGTTCCAGACATAAAAGATGAGCACTTGTATCCTTTTGTGGAATGTTTTAGGGTCTTAGAGGGTGTAATCTGCAAAGCTGAATAACCCCAAATGGAGTATTGCTTTGGCATTCTCTCACATGTATCTTGTACACTTTGAAGGCCAACGATGTGCAAATCAGTCAACTATTTACCAGAGAAGATCTGTGCTAGTCAATACATGGTGCAAATTTTTTCATGAGCACTGGCTCAGAGATTTGTGCTCCAAACCAAAACGGATACATTTCAAATGGCACACAGTTGAACCATTGAAAGAACTAAGCATAAGGGTATGACCCCAATGCTTCTAGGATGCTGAATGATGAAAATTTGCAAAGTTTGTTCCATATGTGGTACCCTGTAATTCTTTCACTGGTCTTGTCTGAGGTGACATATTCCATGTGGCGGGCAGTGTTCTTGGGCTACTGACTTTTGAAGAGTCTGTAAGTTTTCAGTCTAGACTGTATTTGCAGGAGTGCCATTGTGAGTCACTGCATTAAGGTTAGGACTGCTGGCTTGATGGCTGAAGGTCCGATGCGTGGCAGCTCCTACCTCAAATACCTCATGGATGGCTTTTCGAAAGCAGTGAAAATTGTAGTCTATTAAACCTACAGAGAAGGGTAACAATTAAAGACCAATAATGTGCAGTAAACAGAGCAGAATTTATGACATCTTACATTAAACCACATTGTTAAACTTTTTTTTGACAACCATTTGCTTTCAAAACAGCATCAATTCTTCTAGGTACACTTGTACACAGTTTTTTAAAGAACTCGGCAGGTAGGTTGTTCCAAACATCTTGAAGAACCAACCACTGATCTTCTGTGGATGTTGGTTGCCTCAGATCCATCTACCTCTTCATGTAATCCCAGACAGACTGTGTGATGTTGAGATCAGGACCCTGTGGGGGCCAAACCATCACTACCAGCACTCCTTGTTCTTTACACTGAAGATAGTTCTTAATGACATTGGTTGTACATTTGGGATCGTTGTCCTTGTGCAGAAAAAAATTTTGGGTGAAGGTATGGCATAATGGATAGGTTCTGCCTGTATTTATCAGTATTGAGGACACCACTGAGTGGAAAACATTGAGGGCCATAAGCGCAGTGGTCAGCCAAGGATACTTAATGCAAAAGATGAGACACATCAGACTTACTTCTCTTCGACATCAGAACATGTCCAGCAGCGCTATCAGCACAGACCTGACAGAAACCAGCGGGACCCAGGTGCACAAATCTACTATTCAGAGAAGTCTGGCCAGAAGTGGTCTTCATGGAAGAATTACAGCCAAAATGCAATACTTCCGAGATGGAAACAAGACTAAGCAATTCAACTATGAACAAAAACATAGGAACTGGGGTGCAGAAAATGGCAGCAGGTGCTCTGAACCAATGAGTCAAAATCTGAAATATTTGGCTGTAGCAGGAGGCAGTTTATTCACCAAAGGGCTGGAGAGCAAAACAACAATGAGTGAAGCAATAATAAGAAGAAGTGAGCACTAAAAGTCAGAGAGCAGCTAAACACCAAAAGGTACCAACAACCTTCAAAAGTAAACAATATAATAGAAGGGTGTAGCGCTTAAAAATCATGCATCGTATGATATGTCAAGCCTAATAGGCAGCATATAAATATATTAAAACATCAATATAATAAAATAACAATCCTTAAAAACAAGTGAGAAAGTGACATAGTGCAAATACATATATAAAAGTGTATTGCGTCACTAATCAGTGACCCGCCATGTGCACGGTGTCAGGTATAGTCCAAATAATAAGGTGTCTATGGGTCTTCCGGATCCAAATGACTGGTTCAAACGGTTGGTGATAAGGGAAAGTGTAAAGACTGCGCGCTCTCCCAGATGCGCAATCACACTGCGCATTTAGAGATATCAATCTCAAAGTAACAGGGTATCCCCTTTAAAGGTCTGGTCAGGTCTGGTGTCCCTCTGGAATCGACATCAGCCGTCCATGGATGGCTCACCTCCTCTGTAGATAGTGGAAGCTCAAAGGAGCTCAGGAAAAAAGGAGGTCCATAGCGCGATACCGTATGAACAGAGGGTGCTTTATTAACCAGATAAAATGAATGAACAGAAATCACTGACCAGTATGGTGATCCAAAATGCGTCCTAGTGCTGTAGCCCCTCCCTGACGCGTTTTGTGCGATGGCACGTATTCATAGGGGGTCTACATACAGTCAAAGGACGCTATACTCGTGCTATAAATAGAAAAAATGGTGCCTGCGCGTTGAAGATTTGGTCAGGATCAATGGTGTCCTCAATGCTAAGAAATACAAGATAGTTATTCATCCTGCCATACCATCAGGGAGGATAGTGATTGGCGCCAAAAATATTCTGCAGCAGGACAAGAACCCCAAACATACAGCCAATGTCATTAAGAACTATCTTTAGTGTAGAGAAGAACAAGGAGTCCTGGAAGTGATGGTTTGCCCTCTACAGAGCCCTGATCTCAACATCAAGTCTGTCTAGGATTACATGAAGAGACAGAAGTTTCTGAGGCAGTCTACATACACTGAAGATCTTTGGTTAGTGCTCCAAGATATTTGGAACAAACCTACCTGCCGAGTTCCTTCAAAAACTGTGTGCAAATCTACATAGAAGAATTGATGGTCTTTTGAAGGCAAAGGATGGTCATTTATTTGATATGGATTTCTCTTCTGTTCATTTACTGTCCATCTTGTTAATTGATTAAAATCTATTAACATTTCTTTACCTGAAAGCAGGGGGGCTACAAGCAGACAGCGGTGACTGACAGTCACCGCTCTCTGCTCAGAGTGGAGAGGAGAACTCAGAGGACATGTGATCGCGGAGTTCTCATCCTTAGAGAAGACGGGGTCCAGATACCCACCAGATTACCCAGGTAATTATAAATGGGAAAAAAGCTCTTTACAGGAATGCTGGGGAGATCAATTCAGCTCCTGTCTGACATATGTCAACTAGACCAGAAGCAATAAGGACTTTTACAAAACAAAAACAAAAAAAAAAAAGTTGGACATTTTTTTTTTTTTTTACCATATCACTTATGAATAACTCCTACATGGAAGTCTGCAAAGCATAACCTTTTAGGCAAAATTCCCTACTCATGTCCTGAAGTACTATTAAGCACCTACAGGCATAGATGGTACACACATATTAAAATAATAAATCTGCTGAAAGATCTCTCTGTCTGGACCACTGCCTTAAAATATTCATTTCGCAAAGAGGTCTGCTGTAGTAATGAAAAGCCAAAACAAAGCTCATTCCCATCACAAAATGACCACTATGCTCACCTTTTCGTTCAAAGCTTTCTTCTCTAAGAATACAGACGAGTGATAGGAACTTTGTCACTTCTTTTAAATAAAGTACTGTTGTGTTGTTTAGCTTGATAATTGCCATGGACTCCTTGTCATACGCAGTCCCATTACATTCAGCATGCAAACTGTGTAAACAATAATTTGATTAGTTAGGCAAGATAAAATAAGAGAAGATTAGAGAGGCTCTCTGCCTAAAATTGAATGTCTAGTACAAAAGCATGAATTTAATACAAATAGAAACTGCTCACCAGCACCAGGAGAGTACACCTGTAGTTGAAGAAGTTGCCCAATCAGTGTAAGGGCTCACGTACACTGCAGCTAATAAACTCAAGTTCAGGAGCTTTTCTGCGTTTTTTTCAGCAGCCCCTGAACTCTCCCTAATGTTTTCCTATGTGTCCCATGTACACAGTGATTTATAGTCGTTTACAGGCAGTTGAGTTTACAGTCATTTTTTGAACGCAGCAAAACTGCGTTCAGCAACAGATTTCACCGGCGTTTCAAACGCTTGTAAACACGGTTAACCGCGTTTATAAGCATTTGCATTCAGAACCGGTTTTTGACTGGTCCATATCCAGGGCACAATTCGCTAAGCGGTATCTTTCCGCATCAGAGTATGCGGTAGAATACTGCATAGCATTTTTTTTTAAAAAAACCCATTTGAATCCACTAAAAAAGGCTACTAAAATACCACATAAGTTATTTTATCAAGTCATTCGGTATTTTAGTAGTGAAAAGCATGCATTATTGTTTCAGCTATCAGCGGGGTACCCACTGACAGCTGAATGTAAAAGAAAGAATTGCCAGCATTTAAAAAAAAACAAAACAAAAAAAAACGGCGTGGGGGTCCCCCCCCAAAATCCATACCAGACCCTTATCAGAGCATGCAGCCTGGCAGGTCAGGTAAGGGGGGTGAACAAGCGTGAGCGCCCCCCCCCCCCCCCCCCCGAACCATACCAGGCCACATGCCCTCAACATGAGGGGAAGCTCCCCCCCCCCCCCCAAAGCACCTTGTCCCCACGTTGATGGGGAAAAGGGCCTCTTCCCCACAACCCTGGGCTGTGGTTGTGGGGGTCTTCGGGCAGGGGGCTTATCGGAATCTGGAAGCAAGGGGGCCCCCAGATCCGTCCCCCTATGTGAATGAGTATGGGGTACATGGTACCGCTACCCATTCACAAAAAAAAAAAAGCTGTAGTGTGAAAAAAGACAGCAGACATTCTTTGACAAGTCCTTTATTAAAAGAAGGAAAATAAAAGAATGTCCCCTGAAGTAGATGCAACGTCAATCACGATGCACGCCATCCCAGAACAAAAAAAAAAAGAAAAAAAAAAGCCTCTGAGCTGGTTTGACAGTTCTTAAATATGTAAGGGGCGGGGACACCTGGTGACATCACCTGTGTAACCCCGCCCCCGTGTGACATCGAACACGGCATGCTGGGCACTGACGTCACACAGGGGAGGGGGTCACATACGTGATGGCCCCACCCCTTACATATTTAAGAACTGTCAAACCAGCTCAGAGGCAGACGGTCAAGGGTCAGCGTCAAGGAACAGAGCCTTTTTTTTTTTTTTTCCCCTGGAGCGGGCAGCGGCGAGCATCGTGATTGATGTTGGATCTTCGGGGGACATTCTTTTATTTTCCTTTTTTAAGAAATTTTCATGCTACAATCCCCCATACTCATTCACGTGGGGGGGATCTGGAGGCCTCCAGATTCCGATAAGCCCCCCACCCGCTGACCTCTCACAACCACAGCCCAGGGTTGTGGAGAAGAGGCCCTTGTCCCCATCAACACGTTGAGGGCATGTGGCACTCTGCTGCATATAAGAGTCATCATGCGTTTGGAACATCTCAACTACCTGGGAACGGGGTCGGGTACGCCTGATCTTAGCAGGGACCTCTTCTGCATTGTCTGAGCTGTCAGGGTGCCGTTGCTGTCTACAGGTTTGTATTCTGAGGCTGACTGAGTCAGTAAGTCTTCCCCTTCGCTCTCATCTTACATGCTCAGAATCCTGTAGGCCTCTTCACTAGAGTTGCTTTCCATTGACATTTTGGCCACTACATTTATAGGTACCTAGTGCGACTGATGGGAAAAAGAGCACCTGGCTGTCAGGGACTGCTTGAACTGCTACAAAAAAAATTTACCGCCAAGTGCTATCTGAGATCAGGCCTGATTCTGTGAACACTGCGGTTTTGTGTGCAATGTATCAAAGTGACAGTGACCTACTGACACTGCACTTGCTAGGGGAGAAGGGAGGGGGGGTGGTAAGCGTAGAAGCTAAACACAGGTGCTGGCATGTGCCAGGGCTGATCCCAATAATGCTGCATTTTTGGGGACACTAAACTAATGTGAACGCTGGTATAGTGCTGATCTGATCAAAGACACTGATACGTTCAGACAATATACTAGCAATGGAGGTTTATTGTGTATGTGAGCATGTTCCTGGCAATCAAGGGGTTAAATGTGATTACTGGTGTACTGGCGGGCCCCATCTGAAGATATCTGGGAGGGACGTGAAATCTGCAGGAGCGCGAATCACGTATATATACACGTGATTTTGCACACCCGTGTCGCCCTGTAGCAGTATTTCTACTATAGGGCGGACGGGAAGCGGTTAAACAATAAAGCACTATTGGTCTGCCTACAGTCAGGTCCATAAATATTGGGACATCGACACAATTCTAACATTTTTGGCGCTATACACCACCACAATGGATTTGAAATGAAACAAACAAGATGTGCTTTAACTGCAGACTGTCAGCTTTAATTTGAGGTTATTTACATCCAAATCAGTGTGAACGGCGTAGGAATTACAACAGTTTGCATATGTGCCTCCCACTTGTTAAGGGACCAAAAGTAATGGGACAGAATAATAATCATAAATCAAACTTTCACTTTTTAATACTTGGTTGCAAATCCTTTGCAGTCAATTACAGCCTGAAATCTGGAACGCATAGACATCACCAGACGCTGGGTTTCACCCCTGTTGATGCTCTGCCAGGACTCTACTGCAACTGTCTTCAGTTCCTGCTTCTTCTTGGGGCATTTTCCCTTCCGTTTTGTTTTCAGCAAGTGAAATGCATGCTCAATCGGATTCAGGTCAGGTGATTGACTTGGCCATTGCATAACATTCCACTTCTTTCCCTTAAAAAACTCTTTGGTTGCTTTTGCAGTATGCTTTGTCCATCTGCACTGTGAAGCGGCGTCCAATGAGTTCTGAAGCATGTGGCTGAATATGAGCAGATAATATTGCCCGAAACACTTCAGAATTCATCCTGCTGCTTTTGTCAGCAGTCACATCATCAATAAATACAAGAGAACCAGTTCCATTGGCAGCCATACATGCCCACGCCATGACACTACCACCACCATGCTTCACTGATGAGGTGGTATGCTTAGGATCATGAGCAGTTCCTTTCCTTCTCCATACTCTTCCCTTCCCATCACTCTGGTACAAGTTGATCTTGGTCTCATCTGTCCATAGGATGTTGTTCCAGAACTGTAAAGGCTTTTTTTAGATGTCGTTTGGCAAACTCTAATCTGGCCTTCCTGTTTTTGAGGCTCCCCAATGGTTTACATGTTGAATTGAATCCTCTGTATTCACTCTGGTGAAGTCTTCTCTTGATTGTTGACTTTGACACACATACACCTACCTTCTGGAGAGTGTTCGTGATCTGGCCAACTGTTGTGAAGGGTGTTTTCTTCACCAGGGAAAGAATTCTTCGGTCATCCACCACAGTTGTTTTCCGTGGTCTTCCGGGTCTTTTGGTGTTGCTGAGCTCACCGATGCATTCCTTCTTTTTAAGAATGTTCCAAACAGTTGTTTTGGCCACACCTAATGTTTTTGCTATCTCTCTGATGGGTTTGTTTTGTTTTTTTCAGCCTAATAATGGCTTGCTTCACTGATAGTGACAGCTCTTTGGATCTCATCTTGAGAGTTGACAGCAACAGATTCCAAATGCAAATAGCACACTTGAAATTAACTCTGGACCTTTTTATCTGCTCATTGTAATTGGGATAATGAGGGAATAACACACACCTGGCCATGGAACAGCTGAGAAGCCAATTGTCCCATTACTTTTGGTCCCTTAACAAGTGGGAGGCACATATGCAAACTGTTGTAATTCCTACACCGTTCACCTGATTTGGATGTAAATACCCACAAATTAAAGCTGACAGTCTGCAGTTAAAGCACATCTTGCTCGTTTCATTTCAAATCCATTGTGGTGGTGTATAGAGCCAAAAATGTTAGAATTGTGTCGATGTCCCAATATTTATGGACCTGACTGTATGTATTTTCTACATGTATGCTGAGTGGCGTTACAAGAGGGAGCTTAACCAACACGGAAGGAGGATCTCGATAGATGTTATACGATCACTATATGTCCACCTAGAGGACACAAGCTATTTTTGACCAAACTTAGCTGTGAGGTCAACAGTTCCAGGTGAGGGCACAGCAGGAGTTATTGATGGTGGAGGTGCACTGCATATCGAAAAAAGATGATATGGACTATTGATGGAAAGATTATGAACCTTGATTGACTGAACTATTCCAATAAATTTTGGCACACTGTTTTAAGTATTTTTTCACAAATTCAGTTATATTGGGGAAATTATTTTAGGTCACCTTTGAGTGGTTCTAATTACGTTATGAGAAAAGCGCGGTACTGCTATTGTGTGGTTTATGTTATGTAGCATATTTATATGTGTGTGTAGGTGTGGGCAGCTTTTCGTTTTTTTTTTTTTTTCCTGTTTTGTGGTTGAATTTTTTCATTGATTTGGTGGTTTAGCCATTTGTATATTTATTTAGCTGCATGTGGGTTTCTATTTTATATTTAGCAACATCATTCTTAACTGAGACTGCTATACATTTAGACTACGTTTTTAGATATTCAGCTGCATTTTTACAGCTTCCCACCACTGACCCTTAAGCTGCAACAGGTAGTGGATGGGGGTGTTTACATGCAGAAGAGCTTCGCTTTGTGCCCTTGCAAAACCTACCTGAAATGTAGTGATTGGAAGGTACCAAGCCTGAACGGAACACAAAAGGGTAAGCATTGCAAACGGCTCACCACCGTGTGCAATGTATGTAGCTGCGGTGCATTTGTCAGCAAAAAATGGGGTTTAAACAGGCGGTGAGGAGGCATCACATCACCTTCTCACCATCTTCCAACACTTCTGAAGATTGATCTAAAGACAGAACAGGCTTCCGAAGAAAGGTAGATTTAGACACACCCTAACTCTACCCTTAAAATATCATCATTTTAAGTAGAAAATACACAAGTCCTTGATTTATCAAAATTATACCCAAATTACTGGACAGAGCACAACAAACAGTACACAGTATGGCACGATTCACATGCCAAAGGGAAGACAAAAACAAACTCATATGTATATAGTTACCTGTATATACAAGAAACATCTATTACTACATCTATCATATCGCAGCACAGTTCATAGGACTGCATGTCTACAGGAGAACTGTCTGTGGCAATGTAGATTTTACTGACCACATCAAATAAGAAGGCTTTCTCGATGCCTGAATTCTGAAAAAAAAAAAGTAGAAATAGATTAAAAATCTGTTGAAAATAACTTCTAAAAGAAGAACAGAGGAAATGCAATCAGTTGTAGAGAAAGTACACTCTTGCCATTTCATTTAAATCTGCCAGTACTTCTAACTATCCCCTCCCCCCAGACTGACAATGCTGCTGTCCAAATCTGCCCCCTATGCTCCCTTTCATCAAGTGGTGTCTGTAAAATACAGGAGGTGTGTTACTGGTCAGGATAACAGGGGAAAGCAGAGAGGAAAAAGCCTAAAAAAAAATCTAAATATTTAGTAAGCTGCAATATATTACATTTTTGGTTTGTGTTTAATGCTGCTTTAAGCTTTGAAAATTAAAAGATAGATTCTGATTTGTTGTCATGAACAGCTGCTCCAGTTTCTACCTGCTCCAATCTAGGTAAATTCCCCCTCCAGTCTTTTTCTACCAGCTGCATTCCTCACTTGGCTCTTTCCAAGTATCAAACACTTCAATGAGTTATTTGACTTTACAGCAGTTTGTTTTACAGACAATATTCATGAGGCAAGCTGTATTTAGGGTTACCAAGTCTGCTTTATAAAGATCTGCTTTTTTCTCACAAGCCAGGAATCACAAGTGATCTTGAAGTCACATGTCTATGAGACATTCCAAGTAATGTGCTTCATGTATGCTGTGGAGATGTTGAAATCCAGAACTTCAGCTTTTCTTGCTTTTATACATTTCCCATAAAAGGTCCTAAAATGTAATTGCTGTAACGCACAGGAAAGTCTTGAATGTGGACGTGCTGCCTAAGATTAGAAGGCAAGCCACAGATTATGCAATTTTCTTTCTTTTAGGGATGCACTGGTGCCGATACAGAGTATTTTCACGTGTACTCGTGAAAAATGCTCCCGATACCGGAAACCAATACTTTGCAGTGCAATTTGTATCAAATTCCTGTCCAAATCGCATTCGGTTTCTCCACTGCTCCTGTGTGAACCCAGGCTGGTCATAGCCTGCATTCACACAGGAGTAGCGCAGGAAACCTCCCTGCAGGCATCCCATGCTGAGTGGAGAGTGGGTGTGCGGGGATGTATACTATGGAAGCAGATGCTCCATATTCTCAGCAGTAGGAGAAAGCGGTGGGGATTGCAATCCCCAGACCCATGAAGCAGCTTTCTCTCCTCTCCTTGCAGCAATGACAGCATGAGGTAGACATTATCTGATTGGTCAGCACCATCCATGTGGCGGTGCTGACCAATCAAAAGCCCTCTAGCCCGAACAGTCATACTTGCAAGGAGAGGAGAGAAAGCGGCGGGGATATCAAATCCCCATCACTTTCTTTCCTCTACCACTGGGGATATGAAGAATCTGCTACTAGGTATATATCCCATATACCCACTCTCCGCTGCGGGAAACCTCCCTGCACCGTTCCTGTGTGAATTCAGGCTATAACAAGCCTGGACTCATACAGGAGCAATGGGGAAACCACATGCGATTTGGACAGGAACTGCATTCCTGCTCAAAGTCATTTTGTATTGACAAAAATCGCACCGCAAAGTATCGGTATCGATGAGTCCTTGACCGAAAGTATCGGTACTTCTACTCGGCAATTACAAAAAAAAAAGGGATGGGTATCGGTGCATCCCTACTTTCTTTCAACAGGTTGAAGGAAAGCAAATTGCTCGATTCCCCCATCAACACAGTCAGTGTTGGTGGCGGAATCCCTCCCACTGTGCTATTGTATTTTGACAGCGACAGCAGCAGTGGTCATATGAAAAAAACCCAACTGGCTGGTTGTACTGAAGTCGATCAATAAATCGACTTCAGTACAACCAGTCTGCTCACAGACGAATCAAAATTTAGCTGATTCCTGTTAAACTGGCTGAATGTTGATTTCTTGCCACCTCTTCACAAGCCAGTATGTAAAACTGAAAAGTCCTACCTAAAAAATGTTTCACATGAGTGCACTAGAGTGGCGGTAATCCCTACATTTTCAGTGTTTTTAGTATTATGCCTCACTGTACATGGTTTTCTCAAGCAAATATTTTTTGGAAACTGTTCCAAAGTTTCTTACATGTAGCGATCCTGCCAGTAACAGCACTTCCAGGCTGACAATGTTACTGTAATGTTGTTGTTGTAACCCAATGTTGTTGTAATTAGCAGCAGCATTACCAGTTTTAGTTCTAGGAGATACAGGAGCCCAAAGTCCAACTTAAGGAGCGCAGATCAAATGACAACCTGACAATGCTGAGGCTAATGGAAAGGAAGTGGCATTCTGAGTGTTGTCAGCCTGTAACAGGAGTGGTGTTACTAGCAGGATTTACTTTGCAATAGATTCTCCAAAAAAGGTTTTTACTTAGCTGTATACCGCCTTGATTCCAAACATTCTGAAAAATAGATTCTGGGTTTACATAACACTTTAAAAGTGGCCTTCTCAAACTACAAATTTCTTTCTAAAATGTCATCCTATAAAAGATGAAGTATTTCTTTCTTGGGTATAGGGCGATTTCCTGTATAAAATATATACAGTATTCTTTAATATGCTTGGTATTTGTCACTACTGCATCACTACAGAAGTACAAGCGCTCAGCTGGGAATCCCCATGACCTATTAATAACATTGTATGTGTGGGAAGCAACCAATTTTCACATACGCTGAACACTTGTACTGATTTTGCATTTCAGTATCATTACTGAAGTATAGCAAGTTAAAAACAGTATTTATCTGTAAGACCTTTTTAGGATTGTTGAAAAAACATGAAACTCAGCACAAAAACTAGCATTTGATTATTACTGAATTTACTATTCTAGGTTTTGTCTTAAGTACACAGCATTTTTCCCTATTTTCTTTCGTCATCAACAAAAATGCTACCATAAACCCTGTCTACAGCACATATTTAAAGCGGATTAGCAGTACACCAAAAAAAATGTGTATTTATATTTTCAATGGCAAAAAGCGCCAACAAGGTTTCTGTATGATGAATTCCAAAGCTTTGCATTCATAAGGAGTTTCACCTACTAATATTCTGTACAGGAAAGATTTGTGACCATTGTTTACAGAAGTGTCTGCAAGTTAGAATACTGCTGCATGCTCTAGCAATATAGGGGATGGAAGGAGAAACCTGAGTGCCCAGCAGGAGGCACGCGATCCAACAAACCCATAAGTGTTAGTGTAATTGCTACTGAAGCTCTTCAAAAGAAAGCAAACGTTTAAACGCAGTGCCCGCCTGAGAGGCAGCACTGGCTATACATGATTTGAATTTTGTGTCATAATAGTGCCGCGCATATATCTCTATAACCTCATACATGAATTAAAAAGCATCCAAACCATGTGATTATGCAACAATGGTGAATATACTGAATAAATCTTTAAAAGTCCATAATGTGTGTTTTGATCCGTGCCTTTATAATTTGTTCCCAAACAGGGGCTCTTTATTTCTTATATCCACATATATTCCTTTAGGTGCTCCTCCACCAGAGACATACATATATACTCTCACCTCCTTTTATGACCCAAATTGCAGACCCTAAAAGCATAATGCTATTTGATCACTATGAAAAACACCATGAAAGAAGAATGCTAACTTCTTAATGCTATATGCTGAGAGAAAAAAAGAAAATGCTGATTGTTTGCTCTAAACAGCACATTAAGAAGAAAACTGATCTCCATAAACACACACACTTTTCCTTAGCCAAGGCTAAGCGTGGATTCATACATATGATGTTTAGGGAAACCCTAAGATCGCAAGCTAAAAAACTTGGAACAAAATTAGTACAGCACTAGAAACCGCTGGAAAAAGAAAAAATATATAGTGCTAATCAACTGAAGCGAAATAAAATTCATATAGCACAAAAAAAAGGAACAAAAAATAAAGGGGGGGGGGGGGTGTTCATAAATTAAGAACTCTGTGCTAAGAATAGTTTAACCACTCCAGAGGATTTACTCCCCTTCCTGACCAGGTCATTTTTTTGCGATGCTGCGCTGCGCTACTTTAACTGACAATTGCGCGGTCGTGTATTGCAGTGCATAAATTAAATTTGTCATTTTTCCCCCCACAAATAGAGCTTTCTTTTGGTGGCATTTGATCACCTCTGTGTTTTTATTTTTTGCGCTATAAACAAAAAAGTCTGACAATTTTGAAAAAAAAGAAAAAAAAAAAAAAAACAAAACAATTTTTGACTTTCTGCTATAAAACATATCTCGAGAATCAGCAGCCAGGACCCGGCGATTGACATGCCAAGGAGCCAATAGCAGCATGGGTAGGGAGCACACGCCCCCTACACAGACTAGTGATTTTGCACATCTTTCCTGTCCCGTAGCAGTACTTCTGCTATAGGAAGTGGTTAAAAACTATTGAAAAAAAATATGAATGTAGTGTAACATCTTGTGATGAATAAATCTCCTCTGTAGACACAAAAACATCTCTGCAGAGATATATCCACCAAACATTCCTATCAGCAGGTCTACAACTGTACCCAGTATCAAACTCCAAGGGCGGAATTAACCAAGCTTCCTGTGCCATTTTTATACATCAACAAAGTTGTTAGACATATTTCAGGTCTATCTGTACCATCTGTGCCAGTTTTTATTTCAGAGTGAAAAAAAAAAAAAAAACAGTAACAAAAGGGACTGCTGTCATTTTCAATATTGAAAACTGCTATAGATCCGAACTAGATCGGACTCAGCTAACGAGATGTGAACTGTCTGCAGACAGCTCACATTCCTGTCTGTGCAGCGATTAAACCGCATGACCAGAGCCTCCAAAGTTAACAGTCTGTAAGCTTGGCAGCCCAACAGTGATGTCACCTGCACTCCAAATAAATGTGTTTCATGTTTTTATTGCAAAGACAGCTTCATATAAAAGACTTAAGAAATCAGCATTTCAGGGCTAGCAGGGTCCCTTTCTCATAGAAACATATTTATCATTATGTACAGGAACCAGCCAAAATTCATCAGTAGGTGGACCTGCAGTCCACCTCCTACTGGACATCCCTTTTTAAGCTAAAATCGGAAAATCTTCAGCCAAAAACCTGTGGCACCCAATCAGCTGTTCCAGTATTTGGGTCCTGTGGGCCTTCAAGATACAATAGGCACAGTGGGTGAATCACCCATTCGCGCAGTGTAGATAACAAACAATCAGTGTATGATCAGCTTAAGCTCTGGCCTATGCTTGGAAGCCAAGCTAAGAATGCCAACACCACATTGCTGTATTTAACCATTTGCCTGGCAGTATTCTAGACAGACAAATTGTTTTATGACATTTTTTAATTTCTCTGAAGAGTTTGATCACACCAAATGTATTGAAGCTATGGAATCAACATTTCCAGCACAGTCCCAACGCATAGAAAAGGCACAATGCATTGTTTTCTATGCTGTCACTGCAGCTGTTTGGTGCACTGAAAAAAAGTACTGCACTAAACAAGTGCACTAGTCACCGTATTCCACTGGGCAACAAGCATAAAAGAACAAAAAAAAACCTAAGAAAAAAAAACAGTAAAAAAGTAGAAGGGACATCCGTGGTAATGCAGGTTTACAAGGAAAGCAACAAGAAATACAAAGGAGTAGTCAGGTTGGATAAAAAAAAAAAAAAAAAAAAAAGAAGGATTAGGAGAAACACTGATATGGCAGGTAAAACAAATCCCCAAAATGTTTCACATATATGAGTAAAAAGGTTATGAAAAAATAGATATACCCCATAACAGATGAGCATGGGAAGCAGCTCACACATAACAGGGAAAAAGCAGCTATATTAACTTTTTTCTCTTCAGTTTTTACAGATGAAAATAACAGGCTTGATTACCTTAACAGTAGTATGAACAATGTTTGGCCAAAATGTACCTCTGTAGCTTAAAAGTGATCAAATCACCAGGACCCAAGGGCTTACATCTGTGAATCCCTAGGGAACCTAGCATAGTTCATAGCATAGTTCAAGCCAAGCTTCTATTTCTGGTTTTTTAAAGACACTTTACTGATTGCCATGGTGCCAAGTGACTGGTGTTAAGCAAAGGTGATACCAATTTACAAAAAAAAAAAAAAAAAAAAAAAGGATTAAGATGTATACTAGGATACAGGCCAGTCAACCTAACATCAAGGTACCTGAGAGAACAGTAGGGAAATTTGTCTGCAATAAAAAAGGTATCATAAGTGACAACCAGCATAAGTAGTTAATCTAGACATTTGATACTATACATCATAAATGTTTCATTTGCAAAATAAGGTCTGTGGGAGTTTATGAAATCTTATGACTAGGGATAGGAAACTGGTAACATGAACGGATCCAGAGAATATTGACTAATGACGCATTCTCTTATAGGTATAAAGCTGTGAGTGGTGTGCTCCAAGGTTCTATCTTTGGTAAATGCTGTTTTAATTTACTATCAATACAGAAGTTGGAATTAAGGGCTCAATGTCAGAATTTGCTGATGATACCAAATAACGTAGGGAAATGACTTTGGCACAGGATATAGCATCATAACAGCTAAATGGCAGATCAGGGTCAGTACTGAGAAATGTACACCCTGTTCCAAATTATTATGCAAATTCTATTTAAGTGTCACAAAGATTAAATATTTTGTTTTTCAGTGTAACTCTTGGATGGCATTGTGTGTCAGGGCTCTTTTGATCACTGAAAACAATCTCGGACACCCGTGATAATTAGATTGGCCGGTGAGCCCAATTTAAGGAAAAACTACTAAAGGAGGGTGTTCCACATTATTAAGCAGAGCACCATTTTCAAGCAATATGGGGAAGAAAAAGGATCACTCTGCTGCTGAAAAGAGTGAAATAGTTCAATGCCTTGGACGAGGTATGAAAACATTCGATATTTCACGAAAACTTAAGCGTGATCATCGCAAGAGATTTGTGGCTGATTCAGAGCACAGACGGGTTCGTGCAGATAAAGGCACATTGAGGAAGATTTCTGTCAGATCCATGCATCGGATCAAGAGAGCAGCTGCTAAAATACCATTACATAGCAGCAAACAGATATTTGAAGCTGCTGGTGCCTCTGGAGTCCCACGGACATCAAGGTGTAGAGTCCTCCAGAGTCTTGCAACTGTGCATAAACCTATTTGGCCACCACTAACCAATGCTCACAAGCAGAACCAGCTGCATTGAGCAGAAAAATACATGAAGACTAATTTTCAAACAGTCCTGTTCACTGATGAGTGCCGTGCAACCCTGGATGGTCCAGATGGATGGAGTAGTGGATGGTTGGTGGACGGCCACCCTGTTCCAACAAGGCTGCGACGTCAGCAACGCAGTGGTGGAGTCATGTTTTGGGCCAAAAATGCACATTAATTTTGAATGGCATCCCAAAGCACAATTAAAGTGAATTAAAAGCACATTCAAAATGAATAAGTTGTTAATACACAACCGTGGGTATGAGCACTAAAAGTTTTTTTCTCCATAGCAAAAGAACATTTTTATACGCACTGCAAAACTAAAATACAGTTGCAAATCAGAAATAAAATACTTACAGATATAAAAATATTTAGCAAGTTTTCTAAAGTTGGCAACTGTGGGATAAGTTTCTGCACAACCTTACTGAATGCCTCAAATATAGAGTGGTCATAAATACTTGTCAAGTAGAAGCTGCAAGGAAAAGAAAACAGACAAAGTTCATGAACAACAAAATTAGCACAAAAGGAACATACAGTATCCAGTACACACAATATACACCATTTTATGTATACGAAACTGCCCTACTTAAACTCTCTAACGACCTGCTAACCGCAAAGCTAATGGCCACTATTCAGTGCTCCTACTCCTTGACCTCTCTGCGGCCTTCGACACAGTCGACCACCCCCTCCTCCTCAAAAAACTACACTCCCTTGGCCTCAGAGATTCTGCTCTCTCCTGGCTCTCATCCTACCTGTCACAACGCTCTTTCAGCGTTACCTATAATGCTACCACCTCCCCCTCACTCCCCCTCTCTGTTGGGGTTCCTCAAGGCTCCGTCCTCGGGCCCCTTCTCTTCTCCATCACACACCTCCTCCCTTGGCCAACTCATACACTCTCACGGCTTCAACTACCACCTATATGCCGACGACACACAAATCTATCTCTTAACCCCCCACCTCAGTCTCCGCCCAAATCACACACCTACTGAGCAACATAGACTGGATGTCGCTCCACTTCCTTAAACTGAACCTCTCCAAAACCAAGTTTCTTGTCTTCCCCCCAGCCCGTACACCACCCCCCATTGACTTCTCCATCACATCCAACAACGCCACCATCAAACCCGCCCCACAGGCCAGAGTACTTGGTGTCATTCTGGACTCCAACCTATCCTTCCAGCCCAAAGTCTAATCTTGAACAAGCCTGTGCAGACTCCACCTCCGCAACTTCGCCAAAATACGCACGTTCCTAACTCCAGAAACCACTAAACAGCTCATCCACTCCCTCATCATATCACGACTCGACTACTGCAACTACCTCCTTACTGGCCTGTCTCGCCGCTGGCTATCCCCGCTTCAGTCGATCCTGAATACGGCTGCCAGACTTAATGACCTTTCCAACCGCTCCATTTCTGCCACCCCCCTCTGCCAATCCCTCCACTGGCTTCCGATTGCTCAACGGATCAAATTCAAAATCCTAACACTGACGTACAAAGCTGTCCACCATACTGCCCCGAACTACATCACTGACCTAATATCCAAGTACCACCCAGCACGCACACTCAGCTCCTCACAAGACCTCCTTCTCTCTAGTTCCCTGGTCTCCTCCTCCAATGCCCGCCTCCAGGACTTCTCCAGGGTGTCACCCATCCTCTGGAACTCCCTGCCCCAACCCATCAGATTATCACCTACTCTCCTCTCCTTTAGGCGCACCCTGAAAACCCACCTCTTCAGGGAAGCCTACCCCACCCCCTGCTAACTTGCCGACCTCCTCCACTCTTCCTACCACTCCATCCCCCACAGCTATCTCCTCCTGTGCCACCATCCCCTCCCTCCTAGATTGTAAGCTCAAAAGAGCAGGGCCCTCGATCCCCTCATGTTTTGCATTGTATTGTTGTTGTTCTGTCACATGTTCTGTCCCCCTTTGTAATGTACTGCACTGAGCGAACAATTGGCGCTTTATAAATACTGTATAATAATAATAATTATTAACTTAACAATGCTAGAGAAGACTTAAAGCATGTATAACTCCTTCTCTCATCTGGCATGTTACACACACGAGAGTGTTTTGTTACATCTGTTCTTTAAAAAAAAATAAAAAAAATGGATTGGTATCAATTACCTTGTTTTCAGACAACTACAGAATCCCACCCCTCTATGTTATGGGAAATACAAGAGGGGCAATGTTCCATAGTCCCATCTTGTTTTCGGTTATCCTGATACAGCAGGGCATATGAGTATTGTAAACTAGAACATGTAGTATTTTACTGGCAGAATCACCAGGTGAAAATAACAGAAAAAAAGTATGAGAATAGAACACACAACCACCACATCAGAAGACTGGCATGCTACAATACAGAACATTTTTGGTTTTGGGTTCAAACCACAAAATCTTTCATGCAAAGTGTTCACTACAGCTTTTATGTTAACAGCTTTAGAGAAGACTGCAGATAAACAGGTACAACATATGTAGGAGGATTTGTTTCATCTCTGTGTATCACCACAGGCCAGTTACTTCACTGGGTATATGTGAGGGTTTAAAACCACTTTAAACTAGGGCACAAGGCAAGATGATCATGAACAAAAGCCCTGATTGAAGTTTTTTTTTTATACTGTAACAAACTGAGTGTGTGAGTGAATATATTACTGCAACCAATCAAAATTTACTACAAGCATGAACAAGAGAGAACATGAATGGAAATAAATAAAAAAAAGGGGGGGGGGGGGGGGGAATGGGGGTGGGGGGAGAGACAGGGATGCTCGATTTCTATCACCCGACACCCAAGACATGCAGTTCTGGGCGCCAGGCAAGTAGTTTTCTTTCTACATTTAGCCCTGTTTGTAAGGTGGAAGTATTCATGCGGCTCTGCTGCTTCACCAAATGCAGTGCGTAAAGTGCAGTGCGATCTGCACTGCATTACATTCAACGGAGTACAGTTGAGACATGCAGGAACGAAAGCAATAATTCTAGCACCAGACCTCCTCTGTAACGCTAAACTGATGACATATAGGGGGCTTTTAAAGCATCACTTATATAAGATATAGGGTATTGAAGTTTGTCGCCATTTCAAGAGCACACAAATTTAAGGTTTTACATGTTTGGTATCTACTTAATACAAGCTCATCTTTTATATTTTACCAAAAAATTGGGTAATTTATTGCATTTTTGCTTTAGTGTGTTTTTCTTTTTTTACTAAAATTTTGCGTTTCCTAGACCTTGCCGGTGATATTGTGTTACATTACAAAATTGGAAATGCCACTATTTTATTCTCTAGGATATCTGCTTTCTGGAAATATATAATGTTATATAATATTTTTGGAGTTTCATATAATCTTTAGGCCTAAAATAATTTTTTTAAACGTGCAAAAAACTGAAAAACTGCTCTGGCAGTGAAAGGCTTAAAGGATAAGTTTACCTTTGGGAACAAGTGACATGTTCCCGCTCCTGCAGCAGTTTGGCAATCTGAGCCTTCTGCATGACAGCAGTACGGAGATAAGTTTCCCGCATCCGCTGTCACTTTTTGAAAAGTGTGGCCGTGCGGGGCTGTGAATGAATCGACTACAAGTACTGACAGCCTATGTGGATGTCGGCATGTAGCTCTCAATGAACTACCATGGCATTGTTGAGCACACTGGTAGTTAATTGATTCTTCCTGTCAGTGTAAAACTGGCTGACTACTGTACAATGTACAGGCAAGCCAGATTACACTGACAGTTTGCATGACCATTGCATTACACCCACGATCTGCTGATCGCTAGTGCAATGCTTTCTAGGCTTCTAAAGAAAAAAGTCACAGTGCAAGGTTTCTCCCCTCCCTGTTAGTCTCCGGGTGAGGTGCTGGAGACCGGCAGGGTGGTGAATAGGACATAACCAGTGCATTGTTAAAAATAATAAAAGTTTAAAATTGCCATAAAGACATTCCTAAAATTGTCTCAGATTTAAAATATGGTTTTTGTTAAAAATAAAAAAAGTTATCAGCACAAGTAGATTTTCACGAGGGACAAATAGACTGGGACACCACTTTAGTCCCTTGGACAAGCCATAAAAAAAAAAAAAAAAAAACAACACCTTCCACACCCCTGGAGAAAAAATTAAAAAAAAGGCGAGCGAAAGGAGAGACATTCTGAGCACTGAAGTGCATATGCATGGTTCATTGAAATGAATGTCATCATAAAACGTACATAACATTGTACTTTTCAATGCATGTTTATCAGTTGAACAAGGCCTAAGGTATGGATAAAGAAACCCAGAAACTCTTCACTGTAAAATGCCAGGTTCCTACCTTAGGTGAAGTTTTTCTAGTCCAACATCGGCAAGATCATCATTAGCTCTCTGGTGAATGTCTCGCTGAGTTTCTATCTTATGGTCATCTGACAAACCATCTACTTTATGAATAAAAACTTCAAAATTCATATCAGGATTTGCTTTGTAGGCTTTGGTAACGGTCACATGAAGTCTTGCTAGGGCTTCCATATAGTCATCCTACAAAAAGAACAGATTGATAAACTTTAACAGCACAAACTTGTTAAATATAATAAGAAAATCTATTCCCATCGAAACTTTATCCACCTAGATTTACCCAGCCTATGGCCACATGCCAGAAAACCGTGCTAATCAGTAAACCCGTAATAAATACATTTAACTAAATAGGTTTTAAACAAAATCCACACAGTGCAACAACAGGTTCCAATACTCAGTCTGAAATAGTACAGTCCTGGCCAAAAGGTTTGAGAATGACACAAATATTAATAAAATTTTCACAAAGTCTGCTGCTTCAGTGTTCTTAGATCTTTTCATCAGATGTTCTTATGGTAGATTGAAGTATAACTACAAGCATTTCATAAGTGTCAAAGGCTTTTAATCGACAAATTACAGTAAGTTTAAGCAAAGTCAATATTTGCAGCATTGACCCTTCTTTTTCAAGACCTCTGCAATTTGCCCTGGCATGCGGTCAATCAACTTCTGGGCCAAATCCTGACTGATGGCAGCCCATTCTTGCATAATCAATGCATGGAGTTTGTCAGAATATGTGGGGTTTGTTTTTTTTTTTGTTCAACCGCCTCTTGACCAATGACATTAAGGTCTAGGGAGTTTCCTGGCCATGGACCCAACATTTTTGAAGTTTTGTTCCCCAAACCACTTAGTTATCACTTTTGCCTTATCGCAAGGTGTTCCATCATGCTGGAAAAGGCATTGTTTGTCACCAATCTGTTCTTGGATGGTTGGGAGACGTTGCTCTTGGAGGATGTTTTTGTACCATTCTTCACGGCTGTGTTCTTAGGAAAAATTGTGAGTGAGCCCACTCTTTTGGCTGAGAAGCAACCCTACACATGAATGGTCTCAGGATGCTTTACTGTTAGCATGAATCAGAACTGATAGTAGCGCTCACCTTTTCTTCTCTGGACAAGGTTTTTTTTTCGGATGCCGCAAACAATCAGAAAGGGATTCGTCAGAGAAAATATGACTTTACCCCTCCTCAGCAGTCCAGTTCCTGTACCTTTTGTAGAATATCAAGTCTATCCCAGATATTTTTCCTGGAGAGAAGTGGCTTCTTTGCTGCCCTTCTTGACATCAGGCCATTCTCCAAAAGTCTTCACCTCACTGTGCGTGCAGATGCACTCACACTGCTTGCCACCATTCCTGAGAAAGCTCTACACTGGTGCTGCCCCGGATCCAGCAGCTGAATCAACTTTAGGAAATGGTCCTGGCGCTTTCTGGACTTTCTTAGGGGACCTGAATCCTTCTTCACAACAACTGAACCTCTCTCCTTGAAGTTCTTGATGATCCGATAAATGGTCGATTTAAATGCAATCTTAGTAGGAGCAATATCCATGCCTGTGAATCCCTTTTTGTGCAAAGCAATGAGGACTGCCCGGGTTTCCTTGCAGGTAAATTAATATTTGTGTCATTCTCAAAACTTTTGGCCAGGGCTGTATAGGGCTCCAAATGCATAGCTGGAGTTTGTGTAGCTGGGACTATTACACTGGTATTCCAAAATTCTTTTACACCACATTGCTTTGGGGGCTAAAGATTTGTTTCTTCGTTGTTCTTCTGCTTTCCTGTTTGGTGAGAATGGTGGCAACCTTTGCTCCGTTATCACTCCATTACCAGTTTTGACAACATTATTCTGGTTTGTGGCAGCATGTAATGTAAGCTTAGGGAAAGACTGGTGGTTTGATGTGCAATCTACATCCCCTGTCTCACCTAAATACTATGGGAAATGCCCAATTTCAAAAAGATATAGCTAAAGAAAAAAAAAAAAAGTTTTTCAAAGTTTTGGATAGAGTGGTGAGGGGTTAGGACAGCTGTTTTTATTAGCATCTATGTCTTCGTTAGGAATGTTTATTAGCTCTAACCAGCAGTGTCACCAAAAATAAAAGGGATGGTAAATCCAAATTCTGGTTCTTCAAACTATGAGAGTAATAGAGAGGAACCCTTCGCCTTACGGTGAATCTACAGAAAAAAAAATAGGGAAGTCAACCTAAAAAGACAAAAAAAAAAAAAACCACAAATGTTTTAACCCTAAAATGTTTTGGCTTTAGATATAGTTTAACAATTTCCAGGTAGACATGGAGAGAGAAACGGCAATAGAATGCAATCGAGAGACTACCCAGTCAGCTACATTACAGCTGAAGATGGTTTAAAAAAGAAATCCTGAATTAGAATCAAAATGTTCGTGCCTCAGAAATGCGTATATTTCCTACTGGTGTCTCTGACCAATCATAACACGAAACTAAACACCATGGAAAAGGCATCAATGACGAATGACAGATAAAAGGCAAGGAGGAGCCAATTAACTGCCCTAATTTACCTCTAGTGCAAATGCAATGAGCCCTGTTTCTAGAGTACTTACAATTACCTCTTCCATCCTTTTTAAATAGTCTACATTTTCAATTTGTAGCATTTTATATCACATATAAGAAAATATCTATGTTCCAAACTGTTTACAAAAGGTAATGGTGTTTTTTTTGGTCATACACTATGCTTTAATGAGAATTCAAACCCATAACTTCAAAAGTAGTAATGCAGGCAAAATAAAGTAGTGCCCGACTAGCCAAACACATGAAACTGCCTTTACCAACTGCCCCATGCATATAGAGTCTGGATGGTTGTGTTTACCAAGAGAGGAAATAAAGCATTATCAGACATTTCAAAATGGGCAAATAAGTTATCTAGCCATGCAGAGACAGCATTGTATGACACTTGAAGAGTATGCCCAGGCATTACCAATACATCCCTCTCATTCTCTAAAGGATAAGTTCACCTTTGGGAACATGTTCCACCCATTTTTAGGGTGGAACATGTAACATGTTCCCAGAGCCGCCGCCCCCTATCTGTCAAATTTGAAACCTGCGTGGCTGTGCAGGGCTCCACCCACATGGGCACATCATTCATTCACAGACTTCCGTGAATGAATGAACTGCAAGTCCCGACAGCCTTAGCGGCTGTCAGCTTGTAGTTTTCAATGAACTTCCATGGCGCTGTGAAGCCTCATGGTAGTTCATTGAAGCTTCCTGTCAGAAAATCTGCTTGCTTGTACATCCAGTATGGCAAGCAGATATTCTGACAGGTTTGCAGGAGACCTGCATGGTATCAGCAATCTACTGATTGCTGCTGCAATGCTTTCCAGGCTCCTATAGACAAAAATAATAATTGCACATTTTTTTACCTGCACAAACATCTGCATTTATTATTTTTGTCTAAAAAGGTGAACTTATCCTTTAAGCTTGTCCCAGCATAATTCTTATTTTACCTTTTTACTGTAGCAAGAAAAAGCTCGTTACTCTCTCACTTTTACAATTTTTACAGAGGCAGTAGCTGAACAGTCACATCCTAATTATGTAGACATGCTGCAAGAACTACATCTTCAAAGAAACCCTTTCCCTACATAGTGCGTGGGCAGGCTCTTGGGAGTCAAAGCAACAAAAATCAGTGTAGGCATGTGGATTGGGAAAGATAAAAGTGGGGAAAAGAAGTTCTGTAATCCAGCAGGCAGGACTATGTTGTCAGCCCAAACAGGAAGTTAAGGGCACACTGAAGTTTTGTACTTGCAAAAATTTAAAAGGGGCAAACATTTTAAAATGCACAAATATTGCAAAGATATACTAGACACACACTAATCTACATCATTATGTACTCTGAAATTCAGGGTAATAAAACTAAGAAGACCCAGCACTATCATACAGGAGGACTTCACTATCTCACAACCTCGGCAAAGAACAGTCTAGATGACATACATAAATCGCTTTACAAATATTTAAAAAGATACAAACTGAAAAAAAAAAATACAAATTTCACAACTCAGAATGTCTTTTTTATAATTATTTTCAATGGGAAAGCTCATTTTATTGATATAGAAGTTTAAAAAGGCAGTTACCTGGGCATCAATTTACATATATTAATGCTCCGGTCCCTCTAAAGATCATTTCATAATCAAAGGTGGAGTCAAAAAAGTCCACTTGGCCTGGAAAGTCCCAGATTTGAAAATTGACAAAAGAACTATTAGAAATGTCATCTTTGTAGATTTTGTTGGTGCTCTCCAAGAATAAAGTTTCATTTGGTGACATCTTGTGAAACACAACCTGCAGAATAATGAAAGAGTTAAAAGTTAGAGAATTTGAAAACAAATGACACAAGCCAAAACAGCACTCTTTTTAGATGTTAAATGCCATTAATAATAAAAAAAAAAAAAAAAAAAAAAAAAAAAAACACAACACACGACGCCTCTATGCCTAAAAACTCAGTTTTAGGTACCAGTGTGCAAGAGGCCTTAAAATTAAAAACACCTTGAAATGCCATATGGGCAAAATCTGATTTCCTTCCAGAGACCTATATAAAAAATGCATGCAGACTTCAACAGTTGCACCGGCAATGGTCTATAAAGCGGTCAACAGCACATAAACAAATCAATTGCTGCTAAAATAAGCAAATCATGTAGTAATGAAATTGCGCAATTGTGTACGTAATGAAATCACTACAATTACACATACTATGACTAATCCCTTCTGTATACAAATAAGAAACTATTTACAAGAAAAACCATATCAACACAATATTTTTCTGCTTGGACTTAGAAAAGTGCTCCTGTAAGGTAGTTTGCTTCCCTATACAATCATAATGCAACAAAACATCCCATGGGTCCCTAAACATTTATCTACACAATACAATATGCGGCTCAAGCCAACTAAATTGATGCATGAATGCTTTTAGTCTAAAGCTAAAAAAAAAAAAAAAAAAAAAAAAACACACAAATAAGTGGATTCCGTTGCATAGTACAAACTCTATGCCAAAACATAAAGATTTAAAAATCATATTCATTTAGCAATTTAAAGTTAAATAAGAACAAAAATGTAATATATGTCAGCTTTCCAACCATTTCATGTCAAGGCTGCATTATTTGTTTATCCTTTATTTGTATTTCCAAAAACAATCTTCCTGTCCTAGAGTGACAATGCTTCCTCCGCATACTTTATCTTTGGAGGAGAAGGGTTGTCACCCTAGGCAGCTTGCTAATGATTGCGAACAGAGAACACCTCAACACATGTCCATGAATTAGGGAGGAGTAGTTCATAGGGGTGGGCTGGAAAAGGCTGGTAGCACAGCAAAATGTCAGTGCAAGAAAGCCAGAGTGCTACGTAAGTTACAAGCTCATCAACTTTCCACTTTTTCTGTGCTGGCTGTGTTTATAACATGGGGAAATGTGTAAGTGACAGATACTGTACATATTTATCTACTGTATGGTCAATATCAAAGCTATACTATTGATTTTTGATGGATAAACCGTTATAATAGAACTAATATACTTAAAGCGGAGTTCCACCTAAAAAATAAAAGTCAGCAGCTACAAAAACTGTAGCTGCTGACTTTCAAAATACAGCCACTTACCTGTCCTCGGTCCAGCGTTGTCTTCACCACCGCTGATTTCACCAGCCGTCTTCTCTCCTTGGCGCCAGCATCTTCAGTGTGGGCACAAGGCTGTAACAGCTTGTTGCTTCACAGCCAGGTGCCCACTGCACATGTGCGAGAAGAGCTGCGCTTTATGAATGGCCCTGTAGTTTTCTGGGACCTGTCACATGTCCCAGAAGACTATGGGGAGGGAGGGGAGGTCAACTTCAGCCTCCGATCGCCGAGGCGATCAAAGCGGAAGTGGGAGCGGAAACCTGTCAAATTCGGGTTCCCGCTCCCCAAAGGTGCCAATCCTTAATGGGGAGCGGGGGACAAAGGCTCATAGCAGAACTTCCCCTTTTGGGTGGAGCTCCGCTTTAAGCTTTATGACCAAAGGCTCATGAAATGCAGAAAGTCTGCATTCAAAATACTCCTGTATGCTCTATGTGGGTGTACGTGGACACTGACATATACCCACATACTGCAATTCCCATGTGCAAGAGGACTTATGATCCCCGACATGCTAATCAGCATATCTCTATAGCTGCCTTTTTCAACCAGGGTGACATGGCACTCTGGTGTGCTTTCTCGGTTCTTCGGGGGTTTTCTTAGCAAAATGTCTAAAAATTGCTGGTGGCAGGTGGATGAAGCCTGCCTTTTTTCATTACACATATTATTTATTTCAGGTACTTATATAGCGCCATCAATTTACGCATCGCTTTACATCACCCTCAAGGGGTGTACAATCTAAGGTCCTTAACTCACATTCATATACAAGGGCCAATTTTAGACAGGATCCAATTAACCTACCAGCATGTCTTTGGAGTGTGGGAGGAAACCGGAGTACCCGGAGGAAACCCACGGAGGCACAGAGAGAACATGCAAACTCCAGTTAGGAGGTACCGTGGCTGGGAATCGAACCAACGGCCCTAGTACTGCCAGGCAGGAAGTGCTAACCCATTTAGCCACTGTGCTACAAGTTTATATTATGCACCACTACAACTTTGGGCACCGTGTGGGATAGCTGACAGCTTCCCAACAACCGATGACATCGTAGGTTGAAAGGGAGGACACTGGGCCTGTCACCTGCCTCTCTGCGTCAGTACTGGGGTTACGCTAGTTGACTGAGGGAGAATAAAATCACTACTTATGTTGGGTGTCCTATGTGTCTGGATGTTACTGCATTATGTATAAGTTTAGTTTTTTTTTACATGTTAGAATAGGATGCCACTAGATTGCGTGTCGTTTTTAAGGGTGCTTTGACTGAAAAAAGGTTGAGAGACACTGTTCTACAGTGTTCATAATGTTTTTTCAATAAAACAGGATTCATTTGGTCAAACTCCAAAAATGGCAATATGGTTCAAATATGTTAGGGCTCTGTATATTTCTTAAGCTCTACAGTGTATGAAAGATGAAGAGGCATGTGCACATAGTTCTTGCCAGCTTTCCTTAAAGGAAGAATCAAAAAATCCATGTAAAACACGAGACTGGGTGGGAAAAAAAAAAAAAAGTGTTCAAACAACAATATTTCATACTTACGGATTTACGCCAAACACTACCTAAAGGAATACACAGAAGTTTCAAAAGTGACCCTTGCTATTCCTTTTGCTATCCAATTTAAACAACACCCTGGAACTGTAATTAACCTTCCCTTTACAAGTCTGCCTGGATACAATGACATCATCACTCTTTTGTCCTTCCTAGTCATTACACTGGACAAAACCACTGATTGTCATGTCTGTGCCATTACAGACTGCACAGCAAACTATACCTTTGCCAATTTAATTTTCTTTTTACAGGTTTTTGGGCCTCATGCACACCCTGAATGCCTTTACTCCTGTACTCCTGGCAGGAGAAAAGCTGCTTAAAAAACAAGCCTAAAGTCACCTTTAGGTCAGTCAAACATTTGAGCAACAGGGGAGTGGAATTTTTTTTTTTTTTTTTTTTAAACTACTTGTCCAAGGGACTAAATCTGGATTCCAATCTACTTGTCCTGATAAGACATTTTTTCCAGGATGGAAAATATTAAGGGTTAATGTTTTTTTTATTAGGCAGAGGTGCTTTTAGGAATGTCTAGGGCTTTTAAAAATGAAAGGGGTTTTATGGCAACTAACTTTTAATGTTTTTTTCTTTTTTTGCTAAAAAATTTCTTAGAACCCCCCAAAAATTTCATACATTTTTTTTTTTTTAAAGCAGAGGCCCTAGAGAATATATTAGTGGGTGTTGCAATTTTTTAAGCGCAGCAGATTTTCAAACACAATTTTGTTTGCAATAAATTTTAATACAAATAAAACACAATACGTAACCCAATTTCTTTCTCCAATAAAAAAAGATGATGTTGTTACGATAAGTAAATAGATACCAAACATGTCATGCTTTAAAATTGCGCACGCTCGTTCAATGGCAACAAATTACGTAAATTGTACTATCCATAGGCAACATTTTAACAGCATTTACAGGTTACCACTTTAGAATTGCACAGGAGGTCTGGTGCTAAAATTATTTCCCATGATCTAACGTTTGCAGTGATACCTCGCATGTGTGGGACGATCACTGTCTGCATGCATGCAGGACCGTTGCGTGCGTTCACATTTGAGCACGGGGTGCTTTACTTTTTTTTTTTTTTAACACTGTTACTTTAAATGTTATGTAAAATATCTCTTGTGACAACAGTTGGCAGTGACAGGTACCCTTTAAGGAGAGATCTGGGCTCCTATTGACCCTCCTGTGCCCTTAAAAGCATTTGATCACACCAACATAGGTGTAATCAAATGCTTTCTATTTTTAAAATGGAGCCAATTTACATATGGGGAAACTAGTAGCGATGTACGCTCATCACTTCCCGTTTCCTATATCGGAGGCGGACAGAGCAGTTCTGTACTTTGTCCGCCTCTATGGTCAGCTAGTTGACTGGGTGTTCTGGTGGGACGGCAGCCCGGGGGGGTAGAAAGCGATGCAGCTGCTGGTTAGCCACTCGGAACTGCATGTATTGGGCGCTGGGCAATAGGAGTTGAACATCCCTGAGCGTTAATGGATTCCTTCAGCCAGAATATGAATTTATTCTGGCCACTGGAGTGAATGGTCAAGTACTAAACATGTCCAGCATTTAGGCACGTGTAGAGTTTATAAATGTGAAATGTTTTTTATGCCCAAAAGATCCTCTTGTGAACGTGTTGGCACGGTTTTTCTTTTTTTTCTGCCTCATTGTCCTGCCCAACGACCCAGCAGGACAATGAGGACACAGACAGGTATTTATTGTATATTTTAGGCGATTATACAGTTGCAAGAAAAAGTATGTGAACCCCTTGGGATTACATGTTTTGCATGAATTGGGCATAAAATGTGCTCTGAACGTCATCTAAGTCACAACAACAGAAGAACACAGTCTGCTGAACATAATACTACACAAACATTACATGTTGCCATGGTTTAATTGCACATAACATGTAAACATTCACAGTGCAGGGAGGAAAAGGTATGTGAGGCCCTAGCTTAATGACTTTCTCCCAGAGCTAATTGGAGCCAGGAGTGAGCCAACCTTGACTCCAATCAGTGTGATGATATTGGATGTGATGCTGACAGCTGTCCTGCCCTTAAAAAACACACACCTGTTTTGGGTTTACTGGTTTCAAGAAGCACTGTCTGATGTGAACCATGCCTCGCAGAAAAGAGCTCTCAGAAGACCTACGATCAAGAA